TAAGATAACGACCTGAATGCCTGGCCATGCCATGATACGTAAACAATGTACACCATAACCTTTTTCGCTTACTCCAATCCCGGATCTGGATGAGTGCTTTTGATGATTCGCTATTCCTTGCTTACACATTTTCTCAGCTGTTCAAGGAGTGACAATCCAGACCTCCGAAGAGACGGAACGGGTGGAGGTGCGGGCGCGTGGAGCCGTCGCTTGGGTGAAAGCGGGAAGTCGCGCTAGTGTGTGCCTCATGAAGGCTTGACCTGCAGGACCTCAGCTTTACACTTTCGCACCTCCAATCTCGACGTACAATCGCTTCCGCGCACCACTGATTGAACTGCTACCCATGGATTACTCACCGATCCTCTTGATGCGCGGTCATAACTATAGCTGACCACGCGGGAGATGCTGCTCGTGCGGCCAGAAGCAGGCCTTCCATCCCGCTTTCTCAGCCTTCCCAGCTTCTCAGCTCTCAAGCTCATGAAGTGGCTGATTGACGCCTGTTTTTCGTTCGCTAATTTGATCAGCACCCTGTGTCATGTCATGACCATTCGCCAGGCCCAAGGCCGAGGACAAAGTCGGCCCCCGTCATGCCAACAAGCGCTCTGCTGGCGCGTGGTCTTTCCTCAACCGTGCCTCCTGCTTCAACTCTCCATGTAAGATCCCGGAAACATGCGCCAAGGCTGAAAACTCTGTTATGCAATGTAACATTGTTCTCCTGCAGCCAGGCCGGACGATCAGCCACAAGGCTGTGCGGGCTTTCGCGAACCTCCGCTACTCGTCCTTGTACTACAGAATGAGTACCTAGGCGCCGTGCGCGAACACCCTGCACCCGCATGCTTCCACCAAACAGCATCACCTGTCCAATCAGACCTTGGACGGCAGTCGCGTTGCTACCTTGCATTGCTCAATTCTACCGGAATGGTGCTTGACGCTTCCTGAGGCATGCGCTCGCTCAGTCACTCTGTAAAAGGGTGATGTCTAATGTGCCGAGCGTCTGACCTAGGAGTCTGATTCGGCCTCGCAGGTATAAAGGCCCTCAGGTTGCTCTAGCCAGCCGAACTGCTTGCTCTAAGTTAAGCACCTGTCATCGTACATAAAGCACTTACTTTGAATTCGATTGCAATGAGTTCCACCGATAACGACTTGTCAGAGCAACAAAAGGCCAGGACGGGCAAGAGGCGGGGCAAGGATGGCAATGATGTCCATGGAACGGGCAACTCGTCGTGGAAACATCGTCGTGAATACAGCACTTTCAGCTATCAACCTTTGCCACGCAGCCAGGGGACCATTCGGATCCTTGAGCTTTTCTCTAGCGAAACTTCGGCTGCTGGAGTTCTTTGTGCATTGATCACACCAGGCGAGAACGAGAGACATCAATATCCCTATGAAGCCTTGTCGTGGTGCTGGGGCACAGCAGGCAAGTCTGCTGAGATCAGGATCCAACGCAATCGCAAGACATACATCAAGAAAGTGAGCCCGAACCTTGTGGCTGCTATGAAGGCACTTCGCTACCCGGACCGGAGCCGCTTCCTGTGGATTGACATGGTTTGCATCGACCAAGACGAGTAGGTCAGTCAATGATACTCAATCAATAATCGCTGACTTCTGTAGCCTGGGTGAGAAGAATCATCAAGTCGAGATGATGAACATAATTTACGGCAACGCTTCGCGAGTTTGCATCTGGCTTGGGGACGCGACAGAATCCAGTCGCATGGCACTGCGCTTCATCAAGAAAGAAGTCTCACATTTGCGAAGCTTCGACACCCTCTGCGACAGTCAGGACGCGAGCAAGAAATGGGTCGCGTTACTAGATCTGATGCAAAGACCATGGTTCTCACGACGGTGGGTTGTTCAAGAATTGGCCTTGGCGAAGAACCCAATCATCTACTGCGGCAGAGATAGGATTTCTTGGAAGAAATTCGCTGTTGCCGTGGAACTCTTCGTGGAGGTGGAAACAGCGACGCATCGCCTGTCCGAGGTTATGAAGAAAGATCGACAGTACCAGTATATTCCCAGTGTTTTCGACTATGTCTCTGCTCTCGGCGCCAGCTTGCTTGTTGATGCGACAGAACGCCTGTTTCGCGACTACAAGAAATCCGAAGTAGCGCAACCCACACCAGACCCTCAGGCACAGATTGAGTCAATCACCGATTCGGATAGCGAAGCCTCTTTGTACACAAGCGACAGCGAAGACGACTACACATCTGCACCCCTTCATTCAAGCCATGCAGAGGACGTATCTGGTAGCTCGAGACATCGTATACAGCCTCTTCTGAGTCTGGAATATCTGGTATCAAGCTTGACCATTTTCGATACCACCGTTCCTCACGACACAATTTATGCACTGCTTGCGATCGCGAAGGACACCACACCACGAGCTGTGAGCGTAAATGCTGCTGTTACGTCTAGAAGCGCTCAAGCAGGCCTTGAGGTTTACACGCAGCGCAAGAGCTACAACGTCGACTACAAACTGCCGTACGTAGATGTATGCAAGGATTTCATTCAGTTCTCGATCGACCGTTCTCTTCACGGCAACGCAAGTCGCGCGCTGGATGTCATTTGCCGCCCATGGGCCATCGAGGAGAGGAAGCTACAAAAGATGCGTGATACCAAGGAGAAAGAGAAGGAGAAAGAACAAAGAAGGAAGAAGAGAGAGAAGGACCTTGAAGCACGCCGCAAGGGACGCGAGAGCCGTAGAGCACTTTCCAATCATGCCGACCCTCCTGACCCACCTGAGGGAGCACCTGTTCAGAACGTATCTACGATTGCTGAATCGGGGGATATGGCATTGCCTTCCTGGGTACCACAACTCTCGAATGCACCATACGCGATGGCCCAACGGCCGGGTTTGACCGGCCCCAAGATGAGTCGCATTAACGCCGATCCCTTGGTTGGACTTCCAAGTTCCTACTCTGCTGCTGAGACCAAGGGCGTCGACATCAAGGCACTCCGATTTCGTAAGCGACTGAAACCTGGGCACTTTGACGAGGGTCGATTCAGCATGTACGTCCGCGGCTTCAAGCTTGATGTTATAAAGGATGTCACCCAGGTATCTCGCAACGGGCACATTCCCACAGAGTGGCTTGATCTTGCAGAATGGGAAGACGGAAAAGGGCTCCCACCTGACATGTTTTGGCGGACGCTCGTCGCCAACCGGGGCAAAGATGGCAAGAATCCACCCGTATACTACTCGCGGGCTTGCCAAGAATCATTCAGAAAAGGTGGTCTTGAGAGCGGCGCAATCGACACTACCGCGCTCATCGAGTACGAACGCAATTCTGTCGTCGCCCAGTTCTGTCGCCGCGTGCAGGCCGTCACGTGGAACCGTGCTCTTGTGCGTACCGATCTCGGGACACTAGGGCTAGTCGGGAAAGATGTCCAAAAAGGCGACTTGGTCTGCATACTCTACGGATGCAGTGTTCCGGTCGTGCTGCGGGAATGTCCCAAGAAGACTGAAGAAGTATTCGAGGAAGAGATGGAACAAGAACTGGTCGACGTCAAGAATACCGTCGTGCAGAAATTAAGGCAATACATCTTGCGTAAACGACGACATGAAGTTTGGAAAGACAAAGAAATGGCAAAGCTATGCCGAGCATGGCTGAGAACCACCGACTACATACGTAAGCTCGGCATTGATTCTACCAAAATATCAGCCAAGAACAAGCAAGATGCCGAGAGCATCCTTCTACACACCTTGAAGCAATTCACATCCGACTTCAAATCCTGGTTATGCGAAGAGCGCAAGAAGGCATGGCCCGCAGTTAAGACCCACATTGATGAGGAGGTGAATGAGCGAAAGGAGTACCCTAGAAGGAAAGTGAATAGGCCAGGTAAAAAGGAGACGGACGAAAACCTGCGAAGACAGACATCACGAAAACGGAGACAATCACTGAGTGCTGCGACCATGCTGGGGAGAATTACAGAAGCACCAACAACGACTGAAGCAACTGCTCCTACCGCTTCTAAGGATGGGCCTGCACCCATCAAGAAAAAGAAACCGTTGGTGGACTGGTGGGAGTTCGAACTGGCACTTGTTGCTGGTAGGCGCTGGTTGCAAATGGCCAGAAAAGCGAAGGCCGATCGGATCGCCTTTGCACTGCGGAAAAGTGAAGAGGAATGGAAAGAGGTACAGCGTGGCGAGTACAAGGGAGTCAGAGAACTCGTTGAAAGAGAAAACAGAAAGAAGCTCGAGAGACAGGCCGACGAACACCGATACTGCGTAATGAGCGAACACGGCACCCACAACGGAGGTGTGGCTGGCGGCCACGAGATAGCGAATAAGGGACCTGGAAGAAACGACTCACCGAGAAGAGGCAATGAGGAGCATCGGAACGGGTACGGCGATGAAGACTCTCAGAACCATGGAGACAACGATGAGCCTTACAGCACTGAGGAATACGAAAGGACAGAGAGGGAGACTGATCAATACGACGGTGACCACAAGACAAAAGAGGAACCCCACAGAAACGGAGAGACGCCACAAACAAGTTCGAGCTTGCCACATTCGATTCCCGTTACTGGACATGCGCCGCCCGTTATGCCAGAGACCATTCGGCCTAGCTGGCGCCGTCCCACAAACAGAACGAAATTGACGAAGAGCCAGGCGGTCGACTACAAGAGCAAAGTTATGGAGAACCTACGTGAGAGACTCGGCGAGGAAGGCTACTTTTCTTACACGCTTCTTGGCGAGTGTTACATTCATGGGATGATGGACGGTGAGGCGATGCAGCACCAGAATGAGGGTGCTGAAGGGGTGATTCCTTCGATGGTGTTTGAGATTCGTTGATGACCGGGTTTTGAGTTTGTGTAGCGAACGTAGTTTTGTGTTGTCTCAAAGCTCGGTACAAATGCACCAAACTTGGGAGCGCGACAGAGTAATTACATGATTGGTCCGAATTAGGGGAAGTCGCGTCCTCACGTGCATGCGCGTGGTCACTAGCTTGAACGGGCCACGTTTCAGGAGCCTGACGCGTAAGCCCCACTTCCGCGTTGCCGAGGAAATGCCAGGTCGTTTTCTCGTCATACTCCCCTTGTTGTAGCAGCACCACGCCTCAATTCTTCACATCCTACACCTCAATTCCCCTCAATTGAACCCAAAAACCTTACAAGAACTTATCAAAACCATGGTTGCCCACTGCGCGCTGTGCCCTGACGAAGGCAAGCTCAGATGTGTCGCCTGTAACGGAATTCAGTACTGCTCCAAGCGGTGCCAAAAGGCCGATTGGAAAGTCCACAAGCTCATCTGCAAGTCCTTCAGCGAGCACATGAACAATCGCCCTAGTCAAAAGCACTACAGCATCATCGTCTTCCCGAAAGACGAAGAGGCGCCTCGCTTCGAGTGGACTCTGTTCGAGCCTGGCACCTACAACGCCAAGATTCCGTCGCCCAAGAAAGCCTACGTGCAAGAGCTGGGCTTCGAGTTTTATGGGGTAAACTGCAACAATCGCAACAACCCCATAGGATACTTCGAGGAAGACAGTACAGATTACACGACTAAGAGGCACATCGCTGGAAAGCATCTCGGGTTGCTCTTTACGAGAAACTTGGGATCTTTCGAAGAGCCTTTGCCGGAGGATATACCAATCAGTTCGTCAATACCTTTGTACAAGTCACACGAGAAATTTACTAACTTCGTACAGACAAGAGCTTGATGGACATCGATCCTGAGCTTGCGCGACTCCACGGCAAAGGTCACGTCCTTGCCTGGGGCTGCCATTGTCCCGAGGACAGACGCAAGACCTCCGATCTCAACTGTACACCCGCAGACTTCCGCCACGCTGTCGATGCCCTGAGGAAGAACCATTACAAAGACAGCCTGCGGGCGAAGGAGGTCATATCAAGGAAGACTGGTGGTGTCCTCGCTGTGCGCCTCACGTGCGTGGGCGACAAGCTATTCTTCGGCCATCCTACATACGAGAGCCAAATCGAGCCGCGCTCCATCCTGAGCAAGGACTCGCAAGTTCCATGCCCAGTCGCCGACAAAGTCGGCATTCCACTCATTATTCGGAAAGAGCCCCCCGCGCTCTCTTGGCGCGACCGCGACGTCGAGTCCCGTCGCGAGAACCACAACGCGGCGATGCTCAACCCGCCTAACCAGAAGACTAAGACCGGCACTCTGATCATTGCTCGCAAGGACGGAAAGCCGCTCTTGCCTACGCACCTCTTCTGCCTCATCATCTACACTGGCGAGAGGCTGCAAGACCCGAAGTACGGTGAGGACGGCCATCGTCTGCCGAGTATGATGTTGCAGAGCCGTTTGAACCTGGTGTCTCCGGAGGACTTTGAGGAGTACTATAACAACGAGTGGCATCGCTTGAAGCTTAGTGAGAGGTTTGTCCCCTCGCCTTATCAGATGTATGATGACTATGATGGCGAGATTCATCCTATCAATATGAGATAGGTTGGGATGGAAAGGGGAGAAGCATTGGCTTGTTGATGAGACGGAGCCATGTAGGAATGTACGTAGTTACAATGTAGAGGTACTGAATATGCTCTGTTATATTCAGCTGAAGACCTTCACCCAAATCAACTTACAATCCATATCTACAATTCGCTCTTATGTGACACCTCCCTACTAACACCATCCCCCTCTTTCCCGCCACCACTTCCAGCCAGCCTGACAGCAATGGTAGGCTTGTGTACCAGCGTCTGCAGCACCACACAGTACCTCTCTGTCAACTTGCCCAGCTTCTCGATTTCTTCCTCGGTGACCTCCCTGCCGTCTTCCCTCTCTCCAAACTTGACCGCAAACTCCAACCGTATGCCTGTTATGCCAACGGGAGCCGTCCTGTCTACGCCCAGTGTGCCCTTGAAATCCAAGTCTCCTTCTGCGGTGACGGTGCCGGAGGCAATGGGTATACCGAGGGCGGTCGCAACGGCTTTCAGGGTGACGCCTGAGCAGGCTACGAGGGCATCGAGGAGCATGTCTAATTCACGGCGCATAAAGTCAGCACGTGTATCAAATGTAATTCCGATAGAGACATTGCTTACCACCAGAGCATAGTTCGCCAGATATCGCTGGGTCGTCGCCGCCAGCCTTTTGGTGCAGGCCGGCTACCCTATGCGCTTCCTTCACAGCTGAGCTATCGGAAAGCTTGCATGTTATCGAATGGTCGTCGAGCGAGCCCGTGGATTTGAGGGTGACAACAGCGGAGGATGGGTCGCTGCGGTACCCGTCTTTGATCGGGGCTTGCTTTTGGCGAAGCGCTTGAGCGGCGGACATGTTTGCGATGAATTGAACGCGAGATCGGTATGTGAAGAGAAGCGAACTTCTAGATTGATTTTACGGTACGAATTTCTGTCAGGACACCTAGAACTTTCTCAGAGGCTCAAAAGTCATGGTCAGCCTATACATCATTATGAAGTGTACCCCGCAAGGGGCAGGTGGGAGCTCCGCAGCCCCGCTTCGCCGCTGGTGCGAACGATCAAACAGGAAGGAGGGGTGGCTCGGTCGGGCAGAAGCCCAGAGACCTCATGTCGAGAGCTTCGAATCGTATGCTGATGAGCACGTTTGAGATGGGAGAGATAAAGAAATGCAGGCACGACCTGCGCGAGTAGGATTTGCCATGGACACGTGCAGACACGCGATAAGATAAGCGTCAGGGGTCCAGCGCGTGTGCGGCACGCGTCTTCGCTCCACTTCAACGTCATTTCTCGTCATGTCTCTTGCCTTCGTACGATCCACATTGTGATCGCGTCCTTTCTTCTGCGTACACTGACCTCCGATCCTCGAGCACGAGTGAGTTAGTGCAAGCCACCTGGGCAAAGCCGAGACAAGTTCGTCTGTTACAGGCTCGTAAGGGTTGGGACGACGGCTATCGCATTGCCAGTAATCCAAGGCCACAGCCTTTGACATGGAACATACAGTTCATCCGTAAGCCCTTTCGCTTGTCTTCAAACCTTGCATAGATCGAGGAGGCGTGCGGACCTCTGTATGCAAACATTAGGAGGGTTGCCAACTGAGAGACAAATACGGTGGTAACAAACTGATCGGACAGCGCGTGGCTGTGATATGGCCGTCGAGACACCAGCGGACGATCTAACGTGCTAATCAGCTCAGTCTCACGATACCCATTCACGCGTCTCCATTCTGAGCGCTGCGATCTCGACGTCGACATCCTAGCTATCCTACCCCCCGCGCAACCGCACTTACACCTACGCGCTCAGCATGGCTCGCTTTGCCGACCTTCCTACTGAGCTCGAGCTCCAAATCGCGTCACATCTCTCCTCCAAAGATCTCGCCTCCTATGCGCGCATCGGCAAAGTCCAAGCCAAGGTTGCACGCGAGCATCTCTACTCCGCACCGACGATCGAACAACCAGATGAGGGGCATCGGCTAATGATGCTGCTACGCACATTGTTCGCCCGCCCTGAGCTCCTCACAAACATACACTCGATATCGCTCGCTATCGTGAACTGTACTATGCCTTTCGGCCTCGGTTCGACAGCAGAAGAGGCCGACGCTACACGCATCGATTGGGATACGACTAACAATGCCCGTTTTGTTGAGGTCGATAGAATTGTCGGCAGCCCTCATTGCTTGGGATACAAGGACGTATATCAGCAGCTCGTCTTCCGCCTCAAAAAAGTCATGGGCAATCATGACTCCGAGCGGTATTGGTTTTCGCATATCGTCAGATGGCGCACTGCAGCTCTCCACGGCGGATTACTTCGAATTCTGCCTAATCTAGAGCGACTGGAGCTTGAATGCTACACCAAGCTATATCAAGGAATATACCTACCTACAGATGAGACAGATCGCAAGTTTTCGGAAAATCTCTTTCCTTCCACGCCGTGGCGCATAGGCCCGGTGCGTTTCCCGATGTTGAGCGAGCTACATGTCAAGTGCGGACTCTTGATCAATAGCACTCACCTCTTACCCAATTTGAGGACCTTGAAAATTGGTGAGCTCGCAGATCTCCCCCATACTGAGTTTCCGTCCCTAGTACGCATGCACCATTTGTCTGCGTGCGCTTCTTTGTTGCAAGGAGAAAGCCCGGATTGGGCTATACCTCGACTATATCACCTTGATGATGATATGTTAGAAGTACAAAACTTCAATTTACGCTTCCAGGCACAGACCGTCCGCAGTATCGGCGGTGGTCCCGTCCGATATGGCGGTATTCTTTCTCTTGCCGGGGTATTGGAACGTCTACATGTGTCTAAGTCAGTTCTAGAGACGCTATCCGTAGAACCCATCGACCATAGCGAACTCCTACACTGTCGGTTTCCAGTTAATCCTGATGGGTTGATATCGGACTTCAGCATGTTTACCAGCCTACGAGAGCTTACTTTGCCCTTTCGACCATCTACGGACACTCTGGAGGGTAAACTACCTCCAAGTCTGGAAAAGCTTAGTCTACTGTGCACCAGCGCAGTTTCTCCCACATCGGTCGAACATACCCTTCAACACCGGCTCAAATACGGCATCTTCTCGCGTCTCGATCTTTCCCTCTTGTCTGAGACTGACGTGGACATCAATCACGAAGCCTGGGATACGTTCAAGAAAGCTGGCGTGGCTGTGTATATCTGGGTGCGGCAGTCTGTGCTTCTGTATGAAATGCCTGTGTAGGGTAGGAGGGCTCAGGGAACGGCGTGGACATTTCCTGGTGGATCAATAACAAACTTGGCAGGTTGTATGAGGGGCGATCATATTGACGCAGATCTGGACATGGCTGTGGGACCATGGCGGACGCTAAGAGACTAAGGGAGTAAGCGCGTCTTCACGTGATCTGGGGCAGCTCTCCTCTGGGCAGCACCTTTCAAGCCTGGGCCACACCACCCAGCAACAACTCCGACTCAGTGAGTGTCAAATTGGTCTGAATCTCCGCGTCTTCGAACACCGCCATCATTGCAGCTCTCGGTTACTGGACGACATACTGCAGTGCCTGCAGCCAAGTCTCTGGTTGCGCTCTTTCACCTTCGGGTCACGACTAGCGCCCAACAGTCTGTGCACGAAGCAGCGCGTAATCGTTATTTCGTTGCGACCTTCTCTCGCTATTGTTTAGCTTTCCAGCAGCCCTCACCCCTCTCCATCGTCTATCTGCTCACGAAAAGCGTCTAGCTGGACGGCGCCTACCCCAATACATTTTTGCACAACCCGGTACCACAGGACTTGTCGCCAACATGTCGCTCACCAGTTCCGCCGCTGTCTGCCAAGCTACTCCCGTCAACAAGCCGTTCAATTTCGTCGCTCTTCCTCTCGAGGTCAAGGAGCTCATATACAAGCACGCCATGTTCGCGGGCGGACATCTCTGCGACGAACTCTACGTTTACTCCGGAATCCTCGGCAATGCACTTAAGCAGTCTTTCCCAGCGATTTGCTTCACCAACAAGCTCGAGCGCATCATCGCTTCCCGACTCTACCTACGATACCAAACAATCGTTATGCACAACAGTGACGACTCACCGGTTCTTGAAGCTTTCCTATCACAGTTCGGAAAAGCCAATGAGGGACTACGGTGGTTGAAACATGTTGAGTTTGCGAATCTAGGAGACTTCTGTGATTTTAGCAAAGCTGTACCTTTGATCAAGGTGTGCACCGCGCTAAAGACAGTTGTGTTCCACATGATCTCAGACCATCTTTACGAATGGGAGGAAGAAGGCCTGTTCCAAGGTAGACCTAGCACTGGTACCGAGATCTTCGAGCGCCTGCGTCTACATGGCTTATCCGACTGTGGCCATTTGACCAAGGTTCGATTCAGCGTGTGGGGGGGTCGTCATGCGGAACTAGAGGGCTTGAAGGAGTTGATCCAGGACTTTTCATGTGCCTTCTTGGCACTGTACGGATTGACGGCTTCCAAAAAACTCGATGTCGATATCGAGGATGAGCATGGTCTGATATGGGTGTTGGAGCCGCAGGTATGAGAGAAGACGTACAGACATGGCGCGGCAAAGTAACTATCGATGGGCCTTTTGCTGCATGCGATTACGACTTCACAAGAGCAGTGGGTGGGTGTAATAGTGAGGGCCGGGGTATAAATTGATGTGTATCACAGTACAATCAACGCAGATGTGGGTTATTGAGGTCGACGTGAAGCTGGGTGAAGGTGAAGGCGAGGTACAATAAGATCCCTGTCTTTTGTCGGCGCGATTCAGTACCTACCAGTGTGTAGGCCCTTGATTGCGAGTAATACGATGTTTAGAGTCTGAGTCCGAAGACAAATTATGTATCATTAGGAATCTCATTTCATCTTTCCTAGTGGCGAGTGCTTGTGCACTCTGCAGTGCATGCCCGTGTCGTTTTGACAGTCATATGAGAGAACGCCTGGGGGCTAAGGCCGAGACAGGCCAAGCTCGATACGCCACCTACTCACCGTGCAGCGTGTCGAAGTAGCAGTCGACAGACTTGATCTTGTTCTGTCCATTGCCGTTAGTCTAGATGTCCTTGCCAAAAGGGGCCAAATATCTAGAGCACTCACATCCAATCCGATAGTAGCAAGATTTGCAATGGATTCGCGGGCCGAGTACGACGGGTTACCTTGGCATTTGGAATTCCTAGCTTGGGTCAGCCTTGTATCACTTGTGAGCCTGCTTGATGAGACCTACTCGTATAATTTGCAGGTAAAAGGCCTGTCCCTATTGTTATAGCCGTCGGGACACGGAGTTAAAATGACCGAGGAAGCCCAAGGGTTGTCCCTACAATGTATCAGCAAATGTACATGGTGGAGTCTGGTGCGCTTACTCCCTGATTACCCTACAGCCACTATCGCCCTGGTGGCAGGAGTAGGCGACACTTCTGCTACCTTGGTAATCGGGTTGTTCAAATAGGGCAAGCTAAATGGATATCAGCGAGTTGATCAAAGGGACTATGATGCGCCATACCAAGTACACGTCTGCGGCGCGGGTGTCTGCGGTGCCGATGTCTGCGGTGCTGATGTCGGAGTGGCGCTCAGAACGAGCATCAACTCCAGCGACGTGAGCATCCTTATCTTGGAAGCACTGCATGGACCTAATCGTCTCCTGTTCATCATGGTCAGTAAAGGAACGCTTCTTTCACGACGTCCAGACTCATTGGTACTCACATCGAATCTCGGCGTCGACTTTGTGAGATCGTCGATAGACGTGCGCGTCAAAAGAAACCTAGAAGTATAGTCGCAGGTCGGTGTGCTAGCTAACGTTACTCTCGTACCGCAGATGAGCTTGCTCGATAAGACCTACGAGAAGAAGAAACATGCGAATGTCTTGTTCCCAGTTGGTGAGCCGTGGGGGCATGTTTGTAGAGTGAGCGAAGAAGCCCATGGCTCAGAGCTTGAATATGTTAGTCATGGTGAAGTGGACTGACTCGGTGCACTCACGCGCCGTCTGCGAGGCAACCATTCATTCCTGTAGCGCATAGGTAGGCTTTAGCTCGCCTGCCTTGCTTGTAAGGTCCTTCGTAGAGGTGTACCTAGAGGGCAGTTAGAGAAGATAAGTAAGAGGTAGTGGTGTGCACGTACAGCAGCCGGAAAAGGGTTAATGTCTGCAGTGCTGACGTCGGCAACCTCCGAGATACCGTCGAGCTTGACGCGGGACGCGCTCGCGAACATTTCCTGAGGCATGATCACTTCGCTGCCGTCGATGACCATAGGCTCATCGCTGAGCTCGATCGTGGTGCCATCAGTCTTTTGCAAAGTGAAGCCAGCTGCAACCGAAAGCAGCGTGAGAAAGAGGATGAGGAGACGCATAGCGGTTGAGAGATTACTGTAGGGAGACGAAGTGATGAGTCGAATTGCGAAGGAGTTGATTTGACTTGTTGGTGGAGGAAGAAGTAAGAGGTAAGGATCGCAGCGGGAGGGCAAGCTTATGTGTTGGGAAGAGTAAGTAAAGGCAGGCTAATTCCAGAGGCAGCAAGTGAGTGCCCGTTTGCCAACATTCCGATCTTTAGTGAAGCCGACGCCTATGTCCGACTTCTGTGTCACGTATGAGAAGTCAGTCGATTGCACGTGCTTTCGCGCAAACGACGCCGCGAGAAAGCTGGTTAATAACACATGTTGGCCTTTCGCTTTCACTTATCAGTGATTGTTGTAGAGGCTCATGATATAGGGCACTAAATCAATGTGATCATTTGAGGCTAGGAAATGCTGAGACAAGCCTCCGCTAGCCCTCCCAGGTACTCATCAGATGTTCGTGACACCCAGCTTTTCTTCCCTTTGGCCTACTATGGCGAAGCTGAAAGAAGCTAAACTGCATCCTACAAGCGTATCTCTCTCGTAAACTGAGTCAATATTGATTCATCATCACCTGGACGGCCCGTCTGTATGCAGCCCTGCCTTCACCTCAAACCCGAAGTCGTACGAAGACGCGACACCTGGTGACCTACCCAAATGTGTGCTCCATGAAGACGTTTGGAGAAACGACACCTAGCGCATTAACCATCAGTTGTGGCGATTCTTAGGTAGTCCGAGTATAATGAGTGCGTCTGGTCAGTGTTGAAGTTCAGTGACTAGCATGGGGTGCTCATACGATAACCCCGCGGGTGGTCGGCGCTAAGGCCCCTGAGCTCTCATTGGCCCCCGCCATTGCCTCCAGGCAGGCAGCTGCTACCACCAGAGAACCCCGAGCCTCGTAGCCTTCACCCTAGATCTGCCACAATGCATCAATCAAGTGTTGGCAATCTGCTTAACCTACTCCCTCGACCTCCATGGACGCAGCCACTCAATTGGGATCTAGGAATGAACTGGGGTGGCGAAAAACGTGTCTTCTTCCCTGCGTACGTAAGGCATCGTGACGGCAACAATACATCGCAACCATCGCCTACCGGGTTCTCTTCATTCCAAAGGCTTCCCACCGAACTTAAGCTCCGTATCCTCTCATGTTGTTCGATACCAACCCTTTGGCAGCTCATGCGAACGTCATCCATGCTACGCATCGAGTCATCAAAGCTATTCTGGGGACATCCCGATGCCTCTTTCCTCATGTCCAGTTGTTGGATTAGTAGAGGCGGCTATTCTGGTCATACTTGCGTCGACCTTGCGTTCCTTGCCTACGTACAAAACGTAGAGATTGAGTACAGCTGCCTGCACTATTGGCTTTGGCCGAAACGAGAAGCAAAGGCATCATTCCGCCTAGAAGACGTGCAACAAGACATTGTGGCTGGATTCTGGTCTACATTGAAGAAGAGATGCCCGGCAGCTAAGAGGGTAGTGTTCAATCAGAATTTGATGCTCTGCGACATCATTGAGGAAGTCGAGAAGGTGCCACTATGCCTGGAAGTATTGTTACGAGCTTCTCCAAAAGACATCGTCGCTGAGGCAGTCATCATGCAGACGCGAGAGAAAGGTGAAAATTGGAAAACCGACTTGTACAGCTATAGGGAGAAGCCGCAGTGGAGAAATGCATACTTTCGGCCTCTTGGAGATGGAGGCTGGGAATATCTTGATGCGACAGCGCGTAACAACACAGTACTAGTGCCTGGACGGCTATTTCGCGGTATAGTCGGGCAGTTTGAGAAAGATAGCTTTATCTTGGATAGGATCATCTTTCAAGAACGCGCGTTTTGGCCTCTCGTCATAGAAGCCTTGGACCGACACCACTTCGATAATGGGAAAAGCAATGCTTTCGAATGCCCTAAGCTCGAATGCACGGTGAGATTTACAAAGGCTGGCGAATGGACGATACATGCAGCGACTACGTCACATGGCTACGCTCGAGCTGAGGATGATCTCTTTGATATACTGCCTACAGAACTGCGAGGAGAATTCGAGGACAGACACAATGTTTTGATGATGAAGAGACAGGAATTGAGGGAGGACTACACAAAGATCTTGAAAGATTGGAACGAAGAAGGCGGGGAAAAGAGAAAAAGAATGGAACAAGAATATCTTCAACAACTGGAAGACGATCCAGATTGGGCGACAGACCAGCCGGCGGCAGATCACCGGATCTGGAGGAATTTCACAAGCATGATGGACCTGACCTAGAATGGATAGTGAACAGGGTTTGCGACCTGGCGGAGAGTGTATAATGACATTGTAGGGAACTAGTTCGGTCGCGACTCGGTAGTTTCAAAGGGTCGCATGCCGGTAGTCGGAAAATGCAGTGATCAATGCAAGCTAGATCGTTTGGAGCCTCACGGGCGCGACGTGAGCTTGATCAGGATCAGTAATGCTATCAAATGCCCAAGTCGCAGTAGAGCCGGCTCGGTTTGTTCGGTTCCGTACAGTGTCTTCGGTACCAACTCAACCATGAGTTCGAGATCAGGTGCATCGGCAAATTGTAAAGAGCTGAACGATCCGGTGATGTGTTTACTCAACAGGCTACGGATATCACCCTACTCCACCTCCGATGGGGCCAGCGCGTGCACTGAGATGCTCAGTCGGACACCGACTTTGCCATCTCGAACCATCGGGCCGTAAAATTTTCTCGCTCAGCATGTACGCTACTAGGCGTATCGATATGCAAATTTTGAGCCTCATCCTACCCACAACGCGTCTCGAAGCACGCGTGGGCCGTTCGGAGCTGTCGGAGCATCCGGAAACGGAAAGCCGACCGCCACTATAACGTGAATTCGCGTGGCAGACCGTCTAGAAGTCAGCGACTTGCATGCCCCACGTGCAAATGTCGGGGGCCGGTCGGGGGCAGGTCGGAGGTGGATCGAGAAATCGATAGTGGAGATTCCGCGGAGGAGTGAATCGTGCACCGGCAGCCGGTGTGCCATGGGGGCGAGGCGCCAGGCGTTCGAGACGGTAGCCGAGCTGACGTCACGGGTCGCATTCTTAAGTTCGATAATCAAGGCTAAGACGCGTGGCGCAGCTTGGCGCGGACGATCGGCGCAGCTTGGTCTGCCTTCTTTCGATGCTTAGAGGGCGGGCGGGGGCCTTGTGTTGGAGGCTTAAAAGCCAAGATCAGGTGTTGCGAAACCATCTGTGGTGTGGGAATCGTGCGAAGATAAGACGTGCAATGCAGTCAAGGATGACGTAGCACACCTTCTACCAATTACTCGGTGTACACCCGACAGTGAGGAGATGGCAAGGCGTCCCGCGCGTCTGTCCAAAGCCAATACTACCTTCGCTTCGGTCGACGCGCACTTAAGTTTCGACCCATATTTAATGCTACATCGCCTGGTCTGAGAGGTCCCCGGGACAGTGTCCAACGGCCTCTAGCACCAACGCGCCATAGCGCTCAAGCCCTGTCAGCCGTGGAAGCTGTAATATGACGTTTCGAGGATTCGAGCGCGTGCCTTGTGATGCGCACAGTGTGCATTGGGCTCTTTGGAGCGTGCACCCGCGCCTCTGGATTCACTGCGCGTCTTATAAGTTGCTTCTTCCGCCTGCGTGACGTCTGGGTTTTATCATCTTACCCCAGATTCTCCCACCCAGTCCCCGCAACTGGTTTCCGGGTTGACTACTTTTAACCAATAACCCGCCCAAGCGCATTGCTGTCGACAACATGGCGTCTGCAGCAGAGCGTAAGCCCGAAATCCACGACATGGACACCGTCAACAAGAACGAAGCTGGTGACGCTGAGAAGAAGAGCGCTTCCGACGGTGACCTTCACCACACTGAGAACCCGGCCGATCACGCGATCACCGCCGCCGACAAAGAACACTACGAAAAGTACGGCACCTACGATCGCTACGAAATCACCGAGGAAGACTGCTACGACGAACTCGGGTTTTGCTTTCCAACATGGAAGAAATGGACCATTCTCAGCATCGTCTTCATGGTGCAGGTCAGCATGAACTTCAACACCTCGCTGTACAGCAACGCCGTCGGGGGTATCTCTGAAGAGTTCGGCGTCAGCAAGCAGGCAGCGCGTCTGGGTGCAGCCATCTTCCTCATCACGTACGCGTTCGGCTGTGAACTTTGGGCTCCCTGGAGTGAAGAGCTAGGACGATGGCCCATCCTCCAGCTCAGTCTCTTCTTTGTCAACATCTGGCAAATTCCCGTGGGCATTGCGCCCAACTTCGGTACCATCCTTGGATTCCGTGCACTCGGCGGTCTTTCTACTGCAGGTGGTTCAGTCACTCTCGCCATGGTCGCGGACATGTGGGAACCGTAAGTACTTCGCGCCTTCATTCGAGTTTCATACTAACAGTGTTAGTGACAACCAACAATACGCCGTTGCGTTCATCGTCTTCTCCTCCGTCGGCGGCTCGGTCCTCGGACCCATCGCGGGTGGCTTCGTCGAACAATTCCTCGCGTGGAGGTGGAACATCTGGATTCAGTTGATATTCGGTGGAGCCGTCCAAATCGCCCACGCCATCTTCGTCCCTGAAACCCGTACCACCGTCCTCATGGACCGGATCGCTAAGAAACGCCGCACAGAAGGCGAGAAGAACGGCAAGCCCAACAACATCTGGGGACCCAACGAGCTCAAGACGTTCAAGGAACGTTTCAGTGTCCACGAGATTCTCGTTACCTGGGTCCGTCCTTTCCGCATGTTCGTTACGGAACCCATCGTGCTCGTTCTCTCCCTGCTCTCCGGTTTCTCCGATGCTATCATCTTCATGTTCCTGCAGTCATATGCACTCGTATACGAGCAATGGAACTTCTCCGCCTACGCTATTGGACTGACCTTCATCGCTATCGGTATCGGCTACTTTATCGCGTGGTTCTCGTTCTTCCCGGCTATCAAGCGCAACGAGCGCCTCCGTCGCGACCACCCCGATGATGAGAAGTCTCAATACGAGGCGCGTCTTTGGTGGTTGCTGTACACCGCGCCATGCCTTCCTATCGGTCTCATC